AACATCAGTGCACATCCAGTGTTACCGGAGTGTAACAGAGGCAGTTCATGTGTTATGTAGATATTTATAAGTGTGTTACAGAGGGAATAAAAAGGTATAAACAGATGTCATGTTGTGGTTAAGATCAGATTGATGCATGACAGAAAGGGCTACTGTAGTTGCTGTTGACAGAAATCATTTATTCAATACATTTCAGAGACATACTGTACTTTTCACTTCAATTTAACTTAAGTTACTAGTTACTTTCATTGTTGGGAGAGTTACTTTAAAGATGTAATCCCATACAGTGAGTAAGTATGCCTGTTAACTAACCAGTGAGTAACCTAATTCATGTATATATATACAATATTAAAGTAAAATAACTGCATTATCTTACCAACACTATGTAAGACAAAACAAGTGAAAAGAACTAATTAAGAGATTGATGGTAAGTGTTATAAAACAACAGAACAATTTAACCTTTGAGAAGAAAATTATAAAGATAATAACAATAATGTGTGTATTTTTAAAATCCTGCTAAATAATCCCCATTTTTTACTGAATGTAACTGTAATCTGATTACATCTTTCTTTCTGTAACTGTAATGGATTACAGTTACCTTTTTTGTATGATGTTCAGATTAATATTTCTATTATTCCAATTAACAAATACATTTCCGGGGCTGATAATGTTTATAAAGCAGTTAAGATTAGCTCCACCTTTAGCAGTTTGAACATTAAACATTAAAATGATGTACCTATTAATACATAAATTATTATAATTCAAAAAATATATTGTTCTGAAATGTTCTGCACTGAAAATCTGAATCTGAAAATGTGAACACATGGCACTGTGTTATTGCCCACTTTTACTTAAGTACCTCTGCTGTTATTATGACTATTTTATGATGTGGTATAAAAAAGATCAGCATCCTTTATCAGGAACTAAATAAACACTTGAAGTGTAATATGTAAACTGCGTAGGTTCTCGCTATGAGGATTTTCTGTATGTTATTGGAGCCATGAAATAGACTGTTTCAGGTAAAAACCACCAGAATGTACTATCAGGTAGTTTAACCTCAGTTAGTTAGATATTTATAAGGATTAGCCACCTAAAAATATGGTTCAACAAATGCATTAATGTTGGTGCCATATCAGAAACATCAAAATTTAATTCTCCAACGGATCTGTAATGTTATTCCATCCATATAGGATGCATAGAAAAAACATTTTTCTCCCATAATTAGGACATTTTATATATATTTTTTTACGAGAGAACTACACCAGAAGGCTGCCGTCCTTATGGAAATATCACATCTCAGTTGAAATCATATACAGCCTTAATAACAAAGAGAGTGCAACTACAAAAGAGGTCATTTGGCATACGAATGAGAGGGCACACTTATTCCTAGGGAGCCAGTGGTTAAGTGACCACGTGCCCATGGTTGCTGACCCCTTGCCTAGCACATAGTTCATTAGAAAAAGCAACCGCTTTTATACACCCTTGTTATTTTTACCTGCATTTTACACAATCTGCCATCTGTAACGAATATCAAAGACAAAAGAAAAATGTCAGTACATTTCATTGTGTACAGTGTCAACACCTTGGAGTTTCGCACACAGCTCTTAAAAAAGCTGGTGCACACTCATTAAGTTGTTGACAGCTGTTTTCAACTGTGAAAACACACAAAATACAAATACACACATATTCCTGCCAGCACATTCTTACAGATACGGATTGGATTTTATTGGATCTGTGAACACAATTTGTCACATTTGTAGTTTCAGACGCAGCTTTAATCAGTTGAGGGCCGATTTATATCTTCCCTATTCACTTGTGATTCATCTTACAAAAAATGTATTCACCTGAAGTGTCTCCAAAACAGGAGGGCTGATATTAACACGTCCTCTCACTGAGCTAGAGTTGTTAGATAAGAATTAATTTGTCTCTGTTGTGCTTTCAGACGCAGGATGCTGTGTTTCGAAAGACGCTGTATTCCAACACCACCATCCTCATGAAGTGTAAGTAGTCTGAGCTCTTTGTCATGTAAATCTTTTTTAAACTTCCCTAAAACAGGAGTAGGGCTTTGCATAATTTATGCCAACAGTGATGGTGCCATTACCCCGGCTGCTTCACGCACGCACCTTAATAGATATCTTGAGATACAAAGTACAAAGATCAGTTGTCCAATAAGGTGGAATATTTACTGTAAGATATTCATTTACATACAAGCACATCCTTGTTGGTGTTTATTCTGCCACCTGTCAGGTTGTGACACAGCAACACGAGTACAACAGGTAAATGAGTTGTTTTGTAGAGGAGGGCCCTTTGATCAATTATCACTTGCTCAGTAGACACCACAGAAGAAGCACCAAGACAATTGGGTTTAACATTTAAATGTCAGCAGGACTGGCATTGTTGTGCTGACATTTACATCCCACGTGAATCTCACTGGCTGAACTCCAAACATTATGTATAGAGCTGGATGTCCCTGCAACCTGCATGGTAGAGTTTACTGGAAAACCTGCACAGGGAATCCTCTTGGCACTGTGAACAAAATTTCAGGATTTAAAATTAGGAATAATGTTGGAAAGTGTCTTATCTTCACCGCTCAGATGAATCTCGGTAGAAAAGTCTCCTCTTCTCTGAAACATGTTCTTCACAGAGCAATATATGCATCCTGTGTATTATTAAAGCACATTCCAGCTTCATGAATCTAAACATTCAATGCAATGCAACTTTAATCTCAGAGGCGACGTTTTTCAGTCTTGCTGATAAGATACTGTACCTGGCAGAGATAGAGCCCAACGCATCATAAACTGAAATCCCTGTAGCTAGCTAAAAATATTAGATTTCAGCATGTTAAAGGATTATTTTAACACCCTACGTCTAACAGAGAGGAAAAGGTGTATTGACAAACTCAATATTGTCAGTCTGTCTCAGTGTCCCTTCTCATTACCTTGCCTAAAGTGGGCGAGAAGTGAAATACTATGACATGTAATATCATAATTTAACCAGATTAAAACCAGGCCTGGCATAGTTTAGTTAGATTCGACCTCTACAGTTTACACATTTATGGATAGTCAATTTTTCCTGCTGGTGCCTCGTGTGTTATTTCCTGTATCCACATTTGTTTTCTTGTTTGGCTGCTTATAAAAACAGATTCCTGAGTTCTGCTGGTAGTGCACACCACCACACAGCAACTTTTAGCCATTATTCTATTTTGTGCTAGCAGACAGTGACAGGGAGGCACCTTCATCAATACAAAAGTCAGTGGAGAGCGATGAATTGTTTCCCCCTCCAGTGTGGGTAGGACGAAAATGTGCTCTGTCTTTTACAGCCTGGATTATAATATTTTTTAGCATATTTGCAACAGAGTTTGGTAGGGAAAAAAAATACAATCTATACACTATTCTCTCTAGGAGTTACTGCAGCATTCACCAGTCACAAAGGGAGACATCTGTAATACTGTAAATGAGGGAGAGAGACTGGTTTCTACTCCCACAGTAGCAGAAAATAGACCAGGATGCAATGCACCAATATGACGGGGAAATAACAGAAGTCACCTATTGAAATACAACTCAACATCTCAAATTAACATGTGATGATCTGGAACAGCTGGATGGACCTAAAGCCTTATAACTGTCTAATAATCCATCTGTTCTCTCTCTGCAGTCCAGGGTGACATAGGGTCATGTGATAGAAACCTGGCCTTTAACATCAGCTGGTACCTGCGCTCCTCTGTTTGCTACAATGAGGTCTTTAACACACCAGTGAGTATTCACTTGTGCCTGCTGATGTCTGAGTCTCATCTGTTTGTTTTGCCATGACTGTTACTATCACACACAGGTGCTGTAGACATGGTAGATAGAAATTAGTGTTTGAAAAGCAATAGCACTCAAAATCAAATCAGTTGTGTACGTGCCACTTTTGCCGCTTTTCACTCTTGGAAACTTCATGGACTTTTCAGTGTTTTGGCTTCACATTCAGCATCAATAATCTGTCAGTCAGAGCAGCTGGTGTGTCATCCCTGAAAGTGTTTTCATGGCCTTGGGCTCAGCTTCTGTCTTTGTGCCAGCGCTGGCTCTTTGTCCAGAGGCGTCTCAAACTCAGCTGCTGCTCTGGCTTTGATGTACTTCACCTTGTCGCTGTCGGTTTTGAAGCAGAGGGTCAAAAAGAGAGGATATATCAAGGTCACCTGTATGCCGATCAGGACATTTTTCATTCAGATGTGTGTTGAAATGTCAGCGTCTTCTTATGTCAGGCTAAAAAAATAAAAAATAGGTAAAAGACTGACAAGATGGGAGCAGCTGATATTGTTTTTTTGTTGGAAAGAGGAAGTCTTGAACACTTTCCTCAGGCCTTTGAATTTGAATTTATCTCCACTGTCCAAACAGAAAACACATGCTTAGTTACTTCTAGATCAAGTGTAACTTTGCTGTTTTCTATATGGGTTTTAACTATTAGAGGAGTCTATCAGTGTAGTGGGATGAGTTAGATCAAATGTATTTGGAGGACATGGTGATAAGAGCATTCTCAACATTCACTAGTTAGTTTAAAATCAATAGGAAGTCAGTTGGAACAGGTTAATGACTTACTTACTGCTTTTAAACTCCATATTTATGCTTATTTCATTACAACACCGCACATTTTATCATTTATTCTGAAATATCATGCAGTGTCATGTGTGGTTTTGGTGTTAGTTGTTGGGTGCAGTTGTTATTCACAACAGTCTTTATAAAAGAATCAACTGGATATATGAAACAACTACTGCCACATGTAGTTTCTAATAATCAGTATGTAAAGTGCATATTAGATATTTATGGTAAAAATGCACACATATATGAGTTATCCTTGGTATTGTTGTAACACTGTTCTCCATTAATTTAGTGTAAAGTTGCACCATCAGTAGAGTTGAAGAGAATTACTGACCTCTGTCCTCTGTAGGACAACAAAGCGATGAACATGTTCGGTATGGACCACATGTTGAAAGACGGCTGGAGCGGCTTCTACAGTCAGGGCTACATGTACTTCGACAACTGCTCCTCCCTCTTCTTACCAAAGGTTTGTGTCAAGACAAAGGCGTTGTCTTACAATGAATAGCAGTTAAACAAACAGAATTAATCACCACTGTGTACATAAGATTTACCTCATATGTCAGTTTGTCAGTGCAGCAGTCATCCAACGTCTGAATATTTCAGATAACTTCATAAAGATTTATTTGCTCTGTATTCTCATCTAGGTGTATTATGCAGACTTCAACCCATATCAGCCCCTCACCAGCCCAAAGGTGAGTCACTGATTGATTGACCATATTGTTTATAATATCTAATAACTAAATGTTTTGGGAATTTGTTTGTGTTGTCTGTTCACCTAAACACTATGTTGTTTGTTCTGTTTAGAGTGACCCATCGAATCAGAGCCTTATTTGGCCTGACAAGCCGGTAAGACGTGTTACTTTTAATGTAAATGTATGTTTCTATCATAGTTCATACGGAGACTACGGAGAGGTTGAAAGGCTGTGATGGGAATTTATATTCTGAACCACTTTTGTGTTGCCTTTGAATACTTTTTGTGTTCCTCATGATCAACAGGAACAGTTAGTGTGTTGGTCCAGTCCGGTTATAATACACTGCTAGTTTAGAATAACGCTCTGCTTATACGACAGAAAGGAGAAATGATCGAGCACTTCACCGAGCTGACAGTGGGCTATGCATCCACTGACTGTGGCTATAGTCATAATCACATTGACAGCTGTGCAGTCATAACGCAGTGTAGAGAACTAGTTCAACAAGCTTCTGCTAGTTATCTTGATATCAGTTGCTAAGGTAAAGCCTGAGTCAGCCTCAGCTGACTCTAGTCTCGTATTGCAAACCCAATTTGAACTCAAAGTAATGCCAAGTGACCCACAAGATGACAGAGTCATGTGTGGGTGTATATTTCTATTTCTAGTAGGTTATTTCTTATTCTACCATTTTATTTCTACCTAATTTCATTAAAAACCAACGTTGTACTGAATAACATTAGCACCAACTGGTGTGTTCAATGTTCACTGTAGCTTTACCTGCTCCGTGCTTGTAAAATGTAAGATAACGTCTTTCTCTCTCTGTGTGTTTCTCTGCAAAATGCTAAAATGGGTCACAGCAAAAGTTCTTGTTTTATTGTTTTAGTGGGTGCACATAAAAACTATTAATAAAACATAGCATTCCCCCTATGGGTTTTGCTCACAAACATCTTTTTACAGTACATCTATGCACTTTTCCCCTGCTTTACAAGTAGAATGCTTTTATTGTGAAGCAGCAGCAGTAGGAAGTGTTTGGTTTGTATGAGCAGTACCTGAAGAGTGTGAGGCTGATATCAGTCAGATCAAACATAAAAAAGTAACATTGGATTTACATGCTGAATTGTTTCCTTTGAATCAGTCATGTGTGATTAGGGAAATTTTGCATGCAACTGGCGGACTCCGCTGCTAAAGATGTAGACTATATAGAGTGGTTATTAGAGAATGTAAGTACATTAAATGGCTATTGTGCTGAAAAAATGCTGAACACAATTTAAGCTTGGTTTTATTTCATGAAAATCCTTATCCTTATAGCAATCCAAAGATTACTATAAATAAAAACTCTTATGATTATCTTTTTACAGGATATCAGTGCAGTGGCCAAAGCTTGGGAGGACAGTCCATATCTGTTCATAGTGAAGGTGCAGCCTTTGTTCCGCGGAGTTGAGGATGAAGATATCGGAGCAGAACAGCTCAACTTTGCTTTCACAAGTGAGAAACAACACAATTTCAATTCAGAATCTCTCACATTTACTTACTAGATAAACTGGTAAAGATAAAAGGAATACAACATGTAATTTCCTTCCATTTCTTTCCTCAGTGAAAGTTGAGATGAAAGGACCACATGACTATTCTTCTCCAGCAGACTGGCCCCTGATGATGGTATGCCATGTTAATTATATAATGGGAGAGTTGTTAAATCTAAAAAAAAGTTTCAAACACAAATTTTATGGTCACGACTAAACCAGAAACAGAAATTGTATGAATAAACGACTTTAAAGTCTGGGGCAAACAGACCTTTTAGCCGTAATAGTTTTCAAATTGAAACATACATAATATTTAACAAACAAAATCTAAACACAAGATCCAACTTGTTTCTGAAGCTTCTAATTAACATGTGATTTAAAATAAAGCTCACCACTTTTCTCTCCCTCCTGTCCATCGCAGTTCTTCATGATCATGTGCATTGTGTATGTGCTGTTCGGGGCTCTCTGGCTCTTCTGGTGCGCCTGCTATTGGAGGGACCTGCTGCGGATCCAGTTCTGGATTGGCGCTGTCATCATCCTCGGCATGCTTGAAAAAGCTGTGTTTTACTCAGAATACCAGAGCATCCGTTACAAAGGAGACTACGGTCAGTTGATCTTTTTGCATTTGCTTATCTGTGGAATAATGTTTTTTCTCTGTACTGTTCTGTCTGTTGTAATCATCTTTTTGTTTGTGTGTCGTCACAGTTCAAGGTGCTGTAATATTTGCTGAGCTGCTCTCTGCGCTCAAAAGATCTCTAGCCCGAATCCTGGTCCTCATTGTCAGTCTTGGCTATGGCATAGTCAAGTAAGTTTGGGCTTTTAAAACTGCCTTTTTTTAGATTTACCGTACTACTCTCATTTTAATCATTTGTCAGTATAATGAAGAGTTTTCCCCTGTCTTGTATAGGCCCAGGTTGGGTACCACAGTGCACCAGCTGGTAGCTGTTGGGCTTCTCTACCTGCTCTTCTCCTCTGTGGAAGGTGTGCTAAGAGTGACAGGTGTAAGTACCAATTATCAATCAACTCCACAACCCAACAGCTATCATTTTCAGTATTTACTAGTGACAAGTGACAGATGTCCCGTGTGACAGTTTAAGACGTATCCAATTATCAGGTGCCTCGAGCAGCCTAAACACAGACAATGATATGCAGATACTTTAAAGCATGCTAATAATATACTTATACTATATATGCTATTCTGACATATTGGTTTTCTCTTATTAAACCATGGTTGTTAAAGTTGACCTGACTGGATACTGGTGCATTTACAGTGCAACCAAACAAACTCTTGTTGTTTTTAATGATGAAATCATTTGATAATCTGACTTTTCCTTCATGCTGTGATTTAATTTCATGCTGCACAAGGTGTAAGTCAGCGCTAATGACAAATACTTTGCATTTTTGTGACTGCTTTACAATAAAAGCAACCCCCTGCTCTAGTAGTTGAAAGCTTTTATTGTATTAATGTATTGAAGCAGCAGCAGAAGGAAATGTTCGACTTGTATTAGCAGTAACTAAAGAGTGTGAAGCTGATATCAGCGTGATCAAATTAAAAAAAGTTACATTGGATTTACATGCTGCATCGTTTCCTCTGAATCCCTCGAGTTTATTTAGATAAATTATGCATGCACCTATAGTATAGTATTGTATAGAGTGGTTATTAAAGAATGTAAGTACATTAAATGGATATTGCAGAAAAATGCTGAAAATAATGTCATGAAAATCTTAAGGATTACAACTTAAAGGCAGCACTCTGCACAGTTGCAGTCTGTTAGCTTTAGATGGCAGTGAGAGGTAACTGTTTTGAAACAGAGATTGTGTTAAGTGGAATCAATAGTCTGCACATGACACAATAATCTATATCAACCAAACCACACAGTGGAGATTTACTGTATCTCGAAATATACCAAATGGATGAGAGAGAGAAAAGATTTAGCACCAAGTCTGGCTTTCTCTGAGAGGCACACTCTCTTGTTTAGGAGACCATTTCTATTTCACTTCCAACCCTTAAATCATAATTTTCTGTGGCTACAGATGAATTTCATTCAGACAAATATAACAAACCCGCTGCATTTCAACTAGCGCAGATAGGACATTATCTGATGCAGCCTCCACAGGCTGATTGAGGATAATAGTGGTGGTGTATTTTTACATAAAAATCTTGCCTGGCGCAGCTTTCAAAGCACTCTGTGTAAATAAATTTGATTTGAGCAGAGGAGGCGATGGAGAGAGAAGGTTACACAGGGATTCGGTCTCTGGGAGGCAGACAAGTGATGATAATAGGGAATGACGAATTTGATCTACGAGTGATATTCAAAAGCAGCCAAAGACACTGCAGCAAGTTCAGAAAGTCATGAAAGCACAAAGTTATACGAACAAACATGAGATAAGAAAGGCAGTAAGAATAATGGAGAGAGCTTGTGTAGTTTGGTGATAGATGTGTTTTGTCAGGAGACAACTGCAAGAGAGGGGAGACTTAAATCTTCACCAGCTTTTAACACAAGCTTATCTTATGTTTAAAAGAGAACTGTGAATTCCCTTATGACTAAGTAATTCTTCTCTCTCTCTCTTATGTTCACACACACACACACACACACACACACACACACACTCTTTGCTGCCGTCCTCTAGGCTCATGTTTTGCCACGTTTGTAAAATTTGACTCTTGTCTTCTTTTTCCAGGGTTTCTATGGGACGGTTGCCCTGGTGGCTAATCTCAGCCTCTCCCTTATTGACTCCTGTGTCATGTGGTGGATATCCTTTTCCCAAACAGCCAAAGCAGCTTCTCAGTGCTGATCAGAATTTGCATTTTCCAAAGCGTTGCAGATATATGCTTTTGATTAAATCGTGTAATTTGAATGTATACACGGTATGTTCTCCTTAATTTGCATCTACATTTTCATCAGTCTGTCTCAAACCACTCGTCTCCTGAAGCTCCGCAGAAACGTAGTGAAACTCTCTTTGTATCAGCACTTCACCAACACTCTCATCTTCTCTGTTGTCGGTGAGTAGCGACTGCTCTAAGATGGATTGCCTCTTAGTATAGTTGTACCTCAGTTCAGAAACAGCTGCTTCATTATGATCAGTTTAAGGGGAACCTCGCAGATTTAACACACCGACCGTTTGTTTATAAGTGTTGGGGAGTGCTATTGCATATGTGAGGAAAGTTGTATAAAACTTTTTGTGGCTCTAGAGGGAACAATTTCAGTTTGAAAATGAAAAACATCTGAGGGTGTGGCGTTAAAAAGAAGTGAGCTTACCAGCCTGCCTGAGGCCAGCGACTCGAGGATAAATTAGCCACTACTAGAATAACACACCCCAATCTCTTCGCTTGTATTATTAATTTGTGCTATGGGTGTAGATGGCAGGTTTTGACAGGTAAGAAGAATGTGTGGAATTAAAAAGACAATATCTATGGCTCTGCTGCACCGTCGTTTATTATATTGTCCATCAGGAGTGCAATGCTAAATTGGTTGAGAGCTCTTTTAACAGCATCTGAAACTGAAATAAGACATCTTTCAGTTTCTATTTTTCTGTATGGATTAAACAAAGGAGATATAATGCATTAATTAGTGGGCTTTAGGGGTGCTTGTAGGCAGATTTTGTTAGCTGTGGTCAGAGCCCGGCTAGCTGATTTCCATATTTCCAGGCTATGCTGACTGGCTGCTGTTTACTACCGTACAGACTCTTTGCAAGAAAGCGAATAACCATATGAGCTATTCCTTTAACATGTCCTGTACTGTTTCAATATGTGTTTTTCATTTATTAAACTATGTAAATGCATTTGTATATTTGCCCTTTTGATTGAGGTGACTTCTCATCATCATTTCATGGGCTGTTTCTGATTTGCATATTGTTTACAGACATCAAAGTGATGCTGTTGTTTACTTGTGTCCACAGCCTCCATCATATTCATCATCTGGACCACCAAGGTCTTCAAGCTGGTCGACTGCCAGACGGTCAGTTTGTTTTCTGTTATTGATTGATTATTGTATTGTGTTTCAGTCCCGTTCCTTCATGAGGTTTTCCGTTTCTTGTTTATACAGAGATGAAACGTGAACTCGCCTTTCAACCTGATAACATCCATCTCTGTGTTGACTCCTTTCTATTTTTATCCTTTTCCACTTTTATCCTTTCCCCAGGGTTGGAGGGACTTGTGGGTAGACGATGCCTTCTGGCGTCTCCTGTTCTCCACCATTCTGCTGGTGATCATGGTGCTGCTGCGGCCCTCTGCCAACAGCCAGAGGTCAGAGAGTCAGTCTGGAGCTAGGCCTGATGCCGGAGCCCCAAACCATGTCTGTCCTTTATAGTTGCCAGTTGGTGTATTTCATTTTCAGTTCTCTTCTCACTCAGGTTCTCCCATTCTCCTCTGATTGATGACGATGATGAAGAGGAGGAGGCCAAGGAGCCCATGCTGAATGAAGCTTTTGGTAAGACTTATCTTTCTCCTGCTTTTCATGTCGATAGGAGCCAATAATTTATTATTATTCAGAACACCTGCATCAGACAGTGTTTTAGAAAACAAATACATGTGGTGGGCTGTTGCGTTAGTACAGTTTAGATTCCCTGACAACCAGAGAAATACTGTTTTAAATTGATTCTTTCAACATCTAAATCTTGTCCTATAGCAGCCAGATGTGTTGCTAATGTTTTCTATAAAGCAAGAGGCTCCATTATGAAATTACGGTATGAAATTACCCAGATCTTTTGTATAAGCTTCTGCATTGTGGCGCCCATAGAGCAAGCGCCGGCCGAGAGATAATGTATTTATGCTCGAATCCAGTATCCAGTAAAAGCTAGCATTACTAGAGCTCATATTTGTATATAAATATAGATATCCGCTGCTTTTCTGAATTTGATTTGAAGGCCAAAAGCCAGGTTTAGATTTAGGTGAACTGACTGGATGCTTCTTGATGTACAACCCAGTGTTTAAATAGTGTAGTGTAGATCCCAGAGCCATAAGAACTGCAGGGATAAAGATAAGAGTTTTCCTCGTGTTTGTCACATCAACACACTGAATGTGGAAACACTTAAGTCACAGTCTGTTCTGATGGTGTCTTAATTGCTCCATATTTAAGTATTATTTTCTGTTAGTGCCAGCAATGTTCTCCAGTTTAACCGCAAAGCTTCAATTCATTTTTGTCCTCTGTCACAAACAAAATAATCTAAGTCTGCTCACAACTGACCTCAGATCCAATAAAGATGACCTTGTCAATGGTTGTGTTGTATAACCCTGTGCTACTGAGGCCACGACGAAGAAATGTTCATCTTATAATCATATAATGGTATAAATAGAAAATGTAATAACCTAGTTTTGTTATAATCGTATTATTGGACAAGAGACTTCTATGTGATTTTAATTGGCTTATCTTTTTTTTTTTTAGAAGGAATGAAGATGAGAGGCTCAAAGCCTGACTCTAATGGGTCCCAGAAACTGTTGAGTAAAGAGGTGGGTTTAATGTCTTCTGTCAACATCTCTCATCTTTTAGCCATTAATTGTTCTTCACACATAATTCAACATTTTTTTTCTATTTCTAAACTGCTTTTGCCAGGATGAAGACCTAAAATGGGTCGAGGAGAACATTCCTACAACTGTAGCTGATGTGTAAGTCAATTAAAATGCTAGACGCTTGGCAGTCTCAAGGCTGCTTTGATAATACCTTAATAACAGCTTCACATTAGAGTGTTTCGCTATAAAAATACAGTTTTACTCTACCTGGAATGTGTGAGAGAAAGGTATTAGCTTAAAACTGTAATCCTTAATATGACATATTGTCTCAGCTTATGATGTAAGTGTATTAATGTAGCTTAGACTAGAAAGATGTACTCTTAATATTCAGATAGCAACACCTTTGAAGCACAAACCAGCTATATAGAATATCTTAAAATGTTGTTTGACCCAAGCCTGAACTGTGTGAATACATTCACAGCCTCTTTCTCTGCTTCTTTCCTCTATACAGAGCTCTCCCTGTTATGCTAGATGAAGAAGAGGTAAAGGGTTCTTTTACTCTCCCCCCCGCTAGTCCCATGATTTCTATATAAAATGCTCCTGGTTATTACTGTACATGCATTAATCTGTGTTCTCTGTTTCCAGGAAATCCTGAAAAACAAGATGGAGCGATCCAAAATGGAGTAGAAGTAAATGCGATGGGGTGATGTGAGAATGAAAAGAAGGCAATTTCACTGAGGCAGCAATGAATGCGTCCTGAGTGATCGGATTACCAAAAAATGTGGGCGAAGCCAACTGTTCTCTCCAGACACTTTACTTTTTTAGTTTTATTTCACAGGTATTGTGTAACTCTACGATAAGCTCAAAGAAGCATGAATAGTGTGTTTATATTAAGTGACTGTGCCACTCGTGGTTGGAAGGGTTGGCTGTTGATGTCAAGATCGGCATTGTGGGAGGGGGTGAAATTGAAGCAACTGAGCACTTTGATGAATGTTTTATTTGTTTCAAAGATGTTTCTTCTCAAATACCGCCCAAATCAAGCAGAAAGTGGGCATTTTTACACAACGCCCTTGTGAAAAATAGAATATTTATCAAAATCCTGTCCTGGGGTTTTAGACTAATACAATATTTAAGGAGGCGTGTGGTTTTTCTTGAGCACTGGGGATGCAAGATGAAAAGATTTCACTGCCCGCTTCAAATTGCAGAAGTTCCCACGGCGCCAAATTGGTTAAATTTGAAGGCCTGTGAGGACTGATTTCTAATGATTGAAGTACAAATCATAATGCTTGGCGATTGTCTGAGCCAAGAAATCAGATGATGGTACGAATGGAGGGGAAAACACATGCTGAAAACACCCAAGTTATTGTGCATAATGAGGTTATATTTAACACAGTGATGGACACTTCAGAGGTGTGCTGTGCTATAAAATACAGATAAAAAAAAAAGTGTTTTCAGCATGTGTTTTATTGCGTTAAATATTTAATGGGTCACATAATGAAATATATTAAATAATATTGAAATGAGCAAATATATGGTATGATTAACCATTTAGCCAGATAACTAAAAAACAATGTTTCAATGCTTTTATCTAACCAGTAAAGATTCCATGAGCTCATTTCTTGTAGCTGCACCAATAAGTTATATATATGTCTTATTGTTAATACATAACTAACACTTTGTTGTCTGGCTAATTGAGTAATCCTGAGAATAGAAATAAATAAGCTACTGTTACTCTGTAAACACGGCTGCATCAGTGAATATTGATACTTGAAGCATATCACATTTGTCAGGGTACAACGTGCTACATCTGTTGTTTTTGGGGATTCTTGTGTTTTCTGGGCTGAGAGGATGTAATGACCCTCTTGGTCATGAAGGCGTTAAACCGGATCACTTCTCTGAGATGTCATCTTTACACAGAACAGTTCAACCAGATAAAAATGCGTCTCTAATATTGGTGATTTTTAAGCTTCTCACAAACGAAAGACTCAGCGAGCGGGGAAAATGTACGACACTCGTACTAAAACATTTTCCAGACCCGTTTTTAAGCAGGAGTCATGAGTCTAAAATTAAGGATGTTTATTATGAGCACTAGAAAGCTTTTCACTTAACAGGAATGATTTAGGTCCACTTCATGTTGTTGTCACCGAAGTGAAAACCTTTTTATTATTTTGTTAGCTACTGAATCTCAGAATCCATTTAAAAGCCTCACGGAGGTGGTGTGGTTTACTGTATGTATGTAATCGTATCTCACTCCCTCCACTAATTAGGCCAGAGTTTTATTAGTATTTATTAAAGTGTTATTTTAAGGTCCTCACCCAAATTCAGTAGCACAGGATAGTTTTAAAAAAAATGTATACGCTAAATTTCATTTCACTTCAATAAGAGATTCCTTTGGGGCTATCCCATTCACACTGCTAAATAATGTCACTTTATCTGGCAGAATTATATCCCCGTCCTTATGCAATCTACTGCAGTATGTGTGGATATTCTAAATTTCTTTATTTATGTTTTTTTTTTATATTTATCCGAGTTGTTGAGGATATTTCATTTTAGAGATACACTAAAGCCCAATTTCTGGATGTGAGTCTGCATTGTCATGTGAAGCTGATGATATTGTATGGCTTTTTGCGTATGTCCTGCAAATAAAATTTTTATTAAAACATGGTTACAGTGTTGGATTTGTGTGCATTTAGGACAAATGTTTTTAATACTTTTTACATTTACACATATTGTCTTGTTTACAGAAGGAACCGAGAATGCTTTTTAGTGCTTAGAGATGCTTGACAAAAACATCATGATCTTCAAAAAATGAGCTGCAACATTAAACTGATTTTAAAAAAGCAAAACAACACATGTATGGAAAAATATATACTAAACTAAAATAATACTGAAACAGCAACACAAAATTACGTCTAATCAGGAATTGAAACAAGTATTTTTATAATATTTATCATTTCTAATAATATATTAATAATTTTATAATAAAATGTAAATATTTAGAGATTATTTTATGCACTTCAGTGTCTTAAAATTAAATAACTGATTAAAAAACTGGAGGCAGAAGTGTACTAAACTCGACATCTATGCATATATTGTTTGGCCAAAAATAATGAAATAATTTAACTAAATTTCCCCTTGTTTGTCTTCAAAAAATAATAAAAAGTTAAAATAAGTTAATTGTGTTAACCTTATTCAACAAATTTATTTTAGTACATACAGGTGAAAAATATTAAATTCTCTAATATTTTCATCCTCATTATTTATTTAATGTACTATTATTTCTTTATTTAATGTACTATTATTTCTTTATTTAATGTACTATTATTTATTTATTTAATGTACTATTATTTCTTTATTTTATTTATTATTTATTTATTTAGTTCATGATTATTTATTTTCTTCTTTTCCCCAATAAAACACTTATTATTTTATTGTTATTATTAATAACGTAATTTTCG